CACGTGCGTTTTGCTCACCTTCCACTGCCATGTTGCTGTTCATTTTGGCCATTGCTGCCGTATTTCTCAGTGGTTTCGCCTCCTACTGGTACACTCGTCAAGAATACGAAATGAAGCTGGCTGCATTACCGTTCTCACCAATTCCAAGGAGAAATATGTAAGGATTCTCTGAATACATCTGTATTCGGTTATTATGGTCATTTATTTTCTCTGCAGGTTGCGTGCAATACTGCTATACCTATCCTCTATTCTCCCTCTTTCCCATTTTCCCTTAAGGGCAGCTGTTCAATTTCATTGAAACAGTCTTGTTGCGGATGTCTCCTTTGTCTTCTGATACTGGGGGGGGGTGGAGGAGGTTGGTGCTCAGCCGGCCTGATTTCCACTAAATGTTACCGCTTGCCCCCTTCAACAATTGGTAGAGAACAGGTTACTGATGCTGGGGCGGGGCGTGTCGGGGGGGGGCTGCCATGCTTGAGTATGCTTTCTTTTTTAGTACGCCAGGGATGACGTACACTCTACTTCGCTGCGGACGGTTGGGCGTGTCAGGCAGTATGAGTGTGTCACCCCATCAAAGCCGTTCTCTGCCTTCTTGTTGAAGCGCATGCGACAAAAAGTGGTAGAAAACGAGTAATACGAAGGATATGATACAGTATTGTCACTTGCCCGCTTCAACAACTGGTGGAGAACGAGTTTGGCACCGCGCCAAACGCAGCCGCACTGACACGCCCAACCGTCCGCAGCGAACTACAGTATACACATTTGTTTATAGTCGCTCATTGTGTACTCGAAATCCCTGAGATCGGGTAGGCGTGGCTGCGTACTTAATTTTGAAGTGGCCCAGGTTTTCGTGAGATATTTTCATTTTGGAACAGTCGTAATCATGTCTACATCTAACACAGAACAAGATGGCAGTTGTTTCAAATTGAAGTATCCCACGCGTAACCCGTCCTATGCCATGCTCAAAAGCCACGCCTACTCCGTCTCAGGGATAAGTGTATATGGTGTTCTGGCAGCTCGCACAAAGGAGTTCTTGAGGCTATGAGGGATGGGGATATCTTATGATTCCCCTGATATCACTCTGGACCATGCTGAAACCCAGACTCATTTTGGAAGCATGGCGGTTTCTTTGATAGAATAACCAAGGTATTAGGCACCCTTAGGGCGAGGCTAACTGCTACCAACATTTTCTAGAAGGATAAAGCTCGAAGAGGAGCGATGTTCCACCGCAAGTCTTTTTTCTATTCAAACACCGCTATGCTACTGGAATAGTCTCGCAATCATGTCGGATCCCAAAAGCTCCGTTTCTTTGCATCCTTTTCGATTATCATACTCTTCCATTATACAGTGCGCAAGTAGACCTTCAAGAAAAACCCGTCGAAGTGAAAAAAGTCGATGTTCTCAACAACTTCAACGATTGAGCCTTTGTTTCTCATAAGGCCTTTGCGACTAGCCGACGAGCACAGGCTCCCACCTGGGCCTGCTCACAAACATAACCGCGCTGAGATCAGGGCACATCATTGGTTGAGGATTTTGGTCGAGTCCGTACGACCACCCTCCCCCCTTTTCGGAACCCTCTATCCCTCCTCATCGCTGTCGAAGGGAATGGGGGGGGGGTAGATAGCACATGTGAAACCGGAAAAGCCGCGAGAAAAATACGATCCCCCTCTACCAATTCTCAGATTTTCCCCAACTTCCTGCCACTTTTCGAAATTTCCCGAAAATTTCCCTGCTTCTGCAAAAAAATTTTGCTGTCGACCGGAGGGTATATAGTGCACATCACATGAAACAGGAAAATCACGAAAAGCAACCACCTCTTCCAGAAAGCCAGATAGTGAATACACCCCCTTCCCCAACGAAGCTACGACCCCCCCCCTTTTACAACCAGAAAATCCGTGAAGCGAGAAAAATCAACTATCAAAATAAATTTTTCTCAGCCCAAATACGACCCCCCTCTCCTGGCGGCCAAATACGACCCCCCCTGTTGGGGATTCCCCAACAACGATGTGCCCTGGCTGAGATACATAAAAAAGAATGCGCTCAACAGGAGAATGGAGTACGCACTACTATTGATGGATCGGTCTCTTGCGCAGGGTCGACAGCCTTCAATTTTCTTGCGGATTCTCCAATACTGGAGATTAATATGAACACTTTCTCTGGCGAGCTCCCCATTCTCAAACTGAGGGAGATATTAACAGGGCCTAAATCACCGATTCTGCCATTTCCCTGGGGTAACATCGCGAACAGTTATGGCTAATGATTTACAGATCACACCTAATGAAGGAAGAAGACACGTACGAGGAAGAGGAACCGGCCGAGGGGCCAACTATGGAAGAGCTACGGTTACCGGACACTCTTGAACCAGTCTGGTTAGCAAAATAACTTTCTGTCTCTCCACCGTCTTCTGTCATTAGTAGAGGCGGATTTCATCTTCTGCTGCAGGTACAATATGACGCTGAAGCTGTACCTCCCGGGTTATGTGATGCTGCCTGAAGAAAAGAATTTTACCACCGACGGCAACATTCTAATAGGATTAGCTGTAAAGCAGCCCACATCCGAGGTAAAGTTTGTTGGTAAGACGGTTACAATTCGGCTTGGTGGGGCATCAAATCGTGCCCAGTAAGGCTTGTACAAGCCACCTTGTGAAGACCTGTAAATTCCTGTAATATAAATCGGTTTACTTCGATCATTCCGCCGCTGCCCAAGATTCACAGGTCTTAACCTACCAGTAGACATGTACTGGCAAGAGGAACTAACAAAGGTGCAAAATGCTCCCTCCAAGCCGAACAGCATCCTATAACATTTTACCTCAATTTCTCGCCTCAAGGCTATAATTCCAGATCGTGCTAAACGCCAAGGACCTCAAATTTCCGGCAGATGTCAAGAAAGTCAAACTTTTGACGGAACGCACTTTCACAGTAAGAGTTTTCAGTCAGCTCATTTCTCGAATGCATTTTTTACGCCGGTCGTGGAACGGATACAAAGAACTAGGCACCTCATCCGCGCTCCCCCCCTTCCCATATTTTCGGGAGGAGGAAAATAAGTCGGCTGAAGACCGACTGTAGGAAAGCTCCGTTTGCCAGTCATTTACGCGTCTTCCCTATTCACGAAATTTAAAAGATCGGCGCTGCAGTGAAGAATGAGCGAATTTCTCTGTTTTTGCCTGTGCTCCCGCCCATCCGGATATCATGGAATGTGCATCTATTAGGTCATCCCATTCAAACGTGCCGCTGGTTTTTTTTGAATAAAACAAAGAGGAGAATAGATAGAAAAGTGATATTTTAGCTTTAGGATGAGTAAATCCCTCCTTCACCAATGACCCGCTCCCAGTGCCCCGAGGGCCTTTGGACCTCTGGTACCTTCGATTTTTCAACAAGTGTGGGTAAATTGCTGTTGTTGCCAATTTCGGCAAATGACAAAACATTGTAGCGTCTGCCGTCGGAGAGTACTCTCAACTGAATAGAACAGTTGTAA